CCCAAGACGCGCCCCAAGATGCGCCCCAAGATGCTAAAGTAACAATGATACGAATAATACTAATAATAGCAGCAGCAGCAACAAGAATAACAACAACAATCATAAACATGATGAGAACAATACAGGTAAAATATTGGTACTCATACTAATAGAATAATAATGGTACTACACATGGTATGACTAACACTTGTATTACGTCGTATACGAGGCGAGAGCGCGCGGAACCGTCTCCGGAGACTAACAATAATTATTCGTTCGAAATAATTACTCAACACCAACAACAGCAACAACAAAAACAAGATTAGCACCGCTTGCTCCGATCTGTTCGCGTGCCACTCAACACACGTATATCCCAAACCCTCGATACCCGCCCTCTTCATATTCGATCGTACCCCCTGGGGAGTATTGTATACCTTTCTCACCTGCAACGTGCATGTCGTACAGCCTCTAAGGCAGGGGAAGAAAAGACGGATGGAAGGAAGGGACAAGTGAGAGGGAGGAGAACCGAGCACGAGAGAGATTAGCACGAGGAGGCGAAGGCGCGGCGTCTGAATAAATTGTGAGGAAGTCCCACGCCAGAGAGCGCGCTTCCTGGATAAATTGTGGGGAGCTTCCACGCGAGAGCGCGATTTTAGAATAAACTGTGACGAAATATCAGGCGGAAGCCGCAACTGTTGCGAACCAGGGGCCAACAGCACAGTTTGGTGACACCAAGATTTCCCTGTTTAAAAAAACCGGATGCGATCCCCGAAGGGGGCACTTTATCTGAAAGAATACAATTGTTACCAGAGGGGGTGGTCAACAAGAGCAATATTTTAAAAATGAGAATTCAACAACAACAACAACAACAACAACAAATACAAATAACAATACACATACAAATACAACAACAACAACAACAACAACAACAAATACAACAACAACGACGACAACCACAACAACAACAGCAACAACAACAACGACAGCAACAACAACAACAACCACAACCACAACCACCACCACAACAACAACCACCACAACAATCACAACAACAACCACAAAAACAACAACAACCACAACCACAACCACAACAACGACAACCACAATGACAACAACCACAACAACCACAACCACAACAACCAGAACAATAATAACAACAATAACAACAATAACAACAACAACAACCACAACCACAACCACAATCACAACAACAACCACAACACCAACAACCACAATAGCAACGACGACGACAAGAATAACAAGAACCACAACCACAACCACAACAACAATAACCACAATGACAATAACCACAACAACAACCACCACAACAAGAATAATAACAACAACAACAACAACAATCACTTTACCCGAACGCTCAGTGTTCTCACCAGTGCCAGGGTTTTCATACGACGCCCGCCAATACCCCCACTTTGTGGGGGGGGCCGGTTCAAGCTCTACCACATTTCCAAACGACTCTTCGCCACCACCCACACCCAGCTTCCCGCCCTATGACGTTCGGACACTTCACTTCGTGGCCTGCGGACGACCGTGGCTACTACACTGGCGCATGGGTACAGTGACTTGTTGTAGTAACATTTTCTGGACGCTAGCTTAGTATACGACTTTAGCGGGTAGAAATTTTGAAAATTCGTACAGATGTTTTTCGAGGACCTACGGTGCGATTCGTATGATTTTATTTTGCGCGGTGCTAAAATTCCTAAGAAACCCAATGGTTTTTGAAGATTTCGGCGTGCGCGCGCGAAGAAAAAACGAATGTGTCCCGCATGTTATTATTTGACAGGGATGATGGCCCTGGCAGGTGCGCAACCGTTGTCGCAGAAGTTCGAAAAAGTTGCTCGCAAAAGCCCGTTTGACAGAAATGTTTAAAAAGTGTTGGGTTTCCTACGAATCCGCAAGAGCGCGCGGGATGAGATTTTGACAATTTTTTGTTGAACAAACCATTGGTTTTTTGATGTTTTTATGTTAAAATCGCTGCGAACACTAAGGTTTTGGAAGGATTTCGTCTTGCGCGCGCGAATGTCCACTTTACCTTATTTTTTTGCAAGGGATTCTTGAAATTTGATTATATTAGAACAAGAAATGTCATTTTATAGTGTTTTTTGCAAGGGAAAACGGATTACAACAAAACAACCGGATCTTGATGACATAGTATTACCTGAGGCTTCCTCACGAAAATGATGAAAATGTAGCTGCGGCCTAGGCGGCGCAGGGGGGCCGTGCACCAGGGGTCCCAACAATAATTATTCTTTAGAATTAATAATGTTCAACAACAACCACAACAACAACCATCACGGCAACAGCAACAACAAGCAAACGCCATAGCATAGCACCCCTGGGAGACGAAGCCCCCCAGGGGCCGCCGCCCCGTGGGCGCTGGTGCGAAGCGGCGGGCCAACCGGCTTCGCCGCGCCAGGGGCGGACGCGGCGGCGGCGAGCGCGGCGCTCCCGGCCCGCGGCGCGGGGGCAGGCTGCACGGCCGCCCGCCGCGCCGAACCTCGTCGTCGGCGACGACGACGACGCCCGGCGGCGGCGGCGGCGGCGACGGCGACGGCGGCAACGGCGGCGACGACGACGGCGATGGCGACGGCGGCGGCAGCGGCAGCGGCAGCGGCAGCGACAGCGGGAGCGGCAACAACAACGGCGGCGGCGGCGGCCCAGTGACGGCGACGACGGCGGCGGCGACTTCGGCGACGGGTGCGGCGGCGGCGCGAAGGCAGGCTGCGACAGCTTCTGGGCCACCTAAGTCCGCACACCGCGTTCCGCGGGTAGGCAACGCGCGGCCATCCTCGCGCCCTGGAACCGCCCCCCGGAAAAGGAAGACTCTGCGGCCCCAGCCGCGGCGCCTGCGAAGCGCGGCTGTCGCCGCGCCCCCCATAGGGTGACCCGAAGCTTTGGGAGGCGTCTGCCTGCCTGAGCACGAGGAGCGCGGAAGCTCATGCAATTGGCCTGGCCTGGCCCTCCGCAACCGGGCGTGGTGGCCAGAGCACACGAGGGGACGCGGACCCCCAAGCGGGGGCCCCAGACTCCTTCGCACTCAAGCAGGCAAGCGAGCCGTGCAGCCTGAAGGAAGCGTTACTACTACTATTACTACTACTACTACTACTACTACTACTACTACTACTACTACTACTACTACTACTACTACTACTACTACTACTACTACGACTACTAACTTCTAACACTACGACTAGGACTAAATACTACTACGACTACCACTACTGCCACTACTACTACTACTGCGACTACTACTACGACGACTACGACTACGACTACGACTACGACTACTACACGACGCCTACGACTAAAGACGACGACTACTATTACTACTACGGCTGCGACCACGAATACGAATTCGAATACTCACACTACTACTACTACTACTACTACTACTACTACTACTACTACCACTACTACTACTACTACTACTACTACGACTACGACTACTACTACTACTACTACTACTACTACTACTACTACTACTACTACTACTACTACTACTACTACTACTACTACTACTACTACTACTACTACTACTACTACTACTACGACTACTACTACTACTACTACTGCTACTACTACTACTACTACTACTACTACTACTACTACTACTACTACTACTACTACTACTACTACTACTACTACTACTACTACTACTACTACTACTACTACTACTACTACTACTACTACTACTACTACTACTACTACTACTACTACTACTAACACTAACACTACTATCGGCAATTTTCGTGCCAGACCAAGTCGAGATGGCCCAGGGGCGAAAACGCCCGGCGCACAAAGATTGCAACGCCCGGATCCCAGGGCCTGCCCAGACATCCGACGTCTCGTTCGTTTCGAGGCACAGCCGACCTCTCGACCACATCCCGACGGCCCGAGGACCCGTTCTGCATCCCAAGTCGTTCTTGGACGGCCCCAAGGGCCCGGCAGGGGCCCCGAGAGGCCGAAAACGATGAAACACCGTCGTCTCGATCTGTTCGACATGCTGGATGCCTGGGTCCCTCTCCTCCCCCCTCCCACCGTCCCCCCCCCCCCCTCCCCGCCCCCACCCTGCTCCACCCCGTCGGGGGTCCCAGAACCGTGAGGTGACAGACCGCGCGGCGACATCAACATTCCAAAAAGGACCGCCCCACACGCTCCGGCGCCGCTTGGGTCTGGGCTCCCGGAGGCCTCCGCGGCCCGAGGCATCCCCGAATTGAATGACCCGAGCCCCAAATCCGTGCGGTGACCCCCACACCCCCACTGACGCACCGCGCGGCGTGGCCACCCCGAAACCCGCTCCCCTCCCCGAGCACCTCCGGAGCTGGAGCCCGCCCCCGCCCCCCCCCTCGGCCCACCTCGGCGGCGGGGCTGGGCCGGAGTGCACGCTGTCGAACACGGGCGGCGGCGGCGCGAACCTGGAGGGCGGGGTGCTGCAAGGGGCCAAGGGAGACAACGCAAAGGAGCACCGAGATTACAAGATTCCCACTGGTTTCCCACATTTTCTGGGCTGCTGTCTTCCCCCGTTGCCATGGGAATCTACGTTCCCATTCCTCGGGACCCCTGTTGTCTGGACCCCTTCCTGGGACCGCTGTCCCGTCCTGAATCGTTTTGTTGACGGCCCCGAGCCCCGGCAAGGGCCTCCAGAGGCCGAAAATGACGACAAGACCCCCGTCGCGATGTTTTTCAACAACGCGACTGGTTCTGGGTTTCGTTTCGTGCCCGTGTTTCTTACTTCCTCCTGGCCTGTGGCGAGTAGCAGAAATTGGCGGCGAGCGAGGGAGGGAGATGAGAAGAGAAAGTCCTTCTCAGAAGGCGGCGGGACTCCTCAGAAGCCCTCGCGCCTTCTGAAACGTTTGTTGAGTCTTCGGCGAAGGCTTAGAAAACGTCCCAGAAGGCTTGTGGTGCACGGCGCACGCGAGGGCGGGCCCTGTTGATCAGAATCGAGAGCTCAAGTGCCTCGCTTCGTGAGACACGGAACGCGCTACCTCTCGACATCATCATCAATCTGCGTTGACATCCTGCGTCTCGTCAAGGGAACCTTCATGAACCCGCTAGACGTGGAGCCGTCCCCTCTGGGAATCAATGGACATGATGGAATTGCTAAGTCACAGAACTTGAACGCCCTCCAGTGGATGCCGTTGGTATCCTCAAGATCGAGGCCAAGGTCTGTCAGCCTCATGTTTTTCTCTGCCGACTGCTCGATCGTGTGAGCATATAGCACGCGACTGTACGAAGGCACCGGTACAGGTCGCCGCCCGACTTGAGGACGGTCTGCCAGAATTTGTCGGCACACCATGGAGCAGCAAGACCAGGCCACCAGCGAGCCCTGGTGCCTCCACTGCACCCACAGGCAGGCCTCGGACACCCACTGACATGGCATCACGACCGTAGCCTTCCGCCCCTGTTAATACTTGAGCGCGCCCGTCGCCAGCACGTAGGCCGTGCTACTCTCGATGCCGTCCAGGAAGACCTCCTGCTGGCTGATGTAGCGACTGTCCGCCATGCAGTCGTAGCAGATCTGCAGAAAGCACCGGGGGTCGATGTGGCGCACGCGCCCCAAGAGCTCACTTTTCAGCAGCAGCGGCAAACAATACTCCCTGCGCACTCGGATCTGAATGGATACTGGCATCTGCATCAATATCGGAACGTCTACCTCGATGTGGCACTCATTTCTGCTCTCCCCTTCTTGGTCGAAGAGCCCCAGCACGCGCTGCTGCAGGGACGACGGGATACACTTGCTCCTCAAGAACATAATCAGGTGATGGCGCTCCCGCACCCAATGTGCCTTCAGGGACTGCATCTCGTTCAAGCTGCTGAACATGCTGCTGAGGAACGATGAGAATGCCACGAACCCAATCATCACCACCAGGATAGCGAAGCCGCGCTCCCAGCCATTGGCAGGGGCGATGTTATTCGTGGCTGGAGTGAATTGGGTAGTGCTCCAGTGAAGCGCTGCCACGTAGCAGAAGTAACGTAAAGTAAAGTAAAGACATGACTACAGCAGCCGATCATCATATGTAACTTCCTGCATGGCAAATACTCTTCATAACATCATCTCAACAAAAGAGCAGGCCCATCCACGATGTGGTAGCACTCCTCAGCGATGGTACTGGGGATGACCTCGACGATAGGCCTTGACGGCCACGGGTTTGGGCAGGTGGTCCTCCACGAGCCAGCCCTCCCCGTCGACGAGGTGCTGCAGCGAGATGTCGACCTCGTGGTCGGCGAAGGCCAGCTGGTCTTCGTACCTCTGCGAGTGCTCCGCGTAGAGCTGCGTAGCGGTGCCACCGCGCGCCTCATCCCTCCGCTTGTTGAGAAGTCGAACTTCCTCCTCTGAGTGCTGCGTGGCTGGGGTCCACTGTGGGTTCTTGTCGTGGCTGGGGACCCAGCGTGCCTCGCAGCCCGCAGGAAGCGAGCCAGCAGCAAGACGTAGGTCGGCCCAGTCAGCCCAGGCGATGTCTGAGAAAGAAGGCTCTCCACGCAGAAGGCTTTGGAGTCCACGAAGTACTGTCTTGTTGTCGATGTAGACGAAAATCCTGATGCCCTGGCCCGCCGCGGCCTCAACGAGGATGGCGATGGCGGTCCTCTCCGCCATCGTGGACGATGAGCCCAGCGAGATGACAGGGCCCGAGAAGGTGGCGTCGGGCTCCGCGGCGATGGCAATCGCCCACGCTCCTCGACTGAGGGTGGACCAGCCTGCGCGCGGTGGGCTCTTGACTGACCCATCGGTCGCCACGAGGAGGGGTTCATCAGTCCTCTGAGCGCACCTGACCAAGGCTTCCCGAACAGCACGAACATGTAGTTCTCGCTCGGCAGCTGGTTGGCGCAAAGGAAGTGGCGTGGGTACCAGGGACACTGGCTGCAACTTCTCGAGCTCTGTGGATGGCTGCGTTCTCCCTGCGAAGCATAGGCAGCCCCATGCCCAGTGCTCTCGGGTAGCAAGGTCGCCACAGCGGCGGATGGCTCCCCGTGGGAGATCGTAGCCGTAGCGCTCCGCGATGCTCTCGATGACGTAGCGGTCGCACGAGCACCCCAATGCAGCACGTCGTTGCGCGTAGGGCCTGCGTGGTGGGATCTCGCGCTCTGGGTTCAGCACGCCATACCTGATGGAGGTGTGCTCTCCAGGCGATGTGCTGCAACGTACTCTTTCCCACTCGTGCGAGGTCTAGGTCGCCGTCCCGCGTGGTGTAGGTCGAGACCAGGGGCCCCAGGTCGGTGGCGGTCGTAGATTTGGCCCCCGGCCTGGTGGTAGGAGGCTTAGCCTTCCAGCCCCATTTCCTCAAGACCTCTTCCCGACGCGGATGTAGATCATGTGCCTGTAGTTGACCACGGTGGTGTCGTCGAAGTCGCCATGCCTCATGAATGAGCGAGTCGAAATCAAGTTGGAACTCCACTGAGGACTGTGGTCCAGCCGCTGCAATAGCAAGGGTTCTGGAGGAGCGCTCGGGCCTCAGCAGGATCACGTCAAGCAAGAGGGTGTCCCACTTGCGATAAACACTCTTCGGAGGTCGTTGCCACCGCCCTCCCCACCTGAGTTTGGAAAGCACCAGGTATTGGGCAAAGCGCTTCCTCCTTTGCCAACCATTGATGTACGGCGCCGCCAATCGGAGTCGTGAAAACTGGTAAAGCGCTCTATCACTGCTCATCTCGCGGATCATGGTAGGTGGCCCACGTCGTAGTGCGATCCTCACTCCCAAGATTTCCACGCACTGCTTTTGCTTGCCAACTCGATCGCAGATCGTGGTAGTTGGAGGTCTGTGTGGGTCTGGCGTGGTCTGTTCGTCGTCTGGTGTCTGGTGTTGGCCGTCGTGGTGGTCGTGGTCGTGGTCTGGCTCGTAGTCGAGGTCGAGTTCGTGGTCTGGGGAGGCTGTGTTTGCACGCCCCTCGGGCGTGGTCGTGGTCGAGCCCCTCTGCGGGGGCTGTGTTTGTACGCCCCTCTGGTCGTGGTCAAGTTCGTGGTCTGGGAGGGCTGTGTTTGTGCGCCCCTCGGGCGTGGTCGTGCTGACGCCCCTCGCGGTCTGGGAGGGCTGTGTTTGCACGCCCCTCGTGGTCTGGGAAGGCTGTGTTTGTACGCCCATTGGGCTGGGAGGTCGAGCCGGTTGCCCAACCTTGCCCCTGGCGAAGGTCGCCCCTTTGCCCTCGTTCCACTGCCAGCCAGCCTTAGCATCGTAGTGCCAAGAAGCGAGGAGGGCGTCGTGGCACCTCCGCCAGGCCAGCGGTCCTCTCGCCCATATGGTACGATCGTCTGCATAAGCTCTCACATGCACATCAGTAGCCTCCGCGCTGACGTGCTTGATCCACAAGTTCATGTTGCACAAGAGGAGGATGACGCTCGCTGGGTAGCCCTGCAAGAGTCCTCTCTGGGGGAGGATGGGCCGATGCGCTACAGCACCGTCAAGCTCCAAGAACATCTGCCTCTGGGAGTAAAAGCTCTGCACGGCATGCAGCAGGCCTTCTGGCGCGCCTTGGTGCCGCAGTGGGTGCAAGGCCCGTGCGACGCTGCAGCGATCAATGGCCTTGGAGAGGTCAATCTTCGCCCCGTAGATGGAGGGGCCTGTGTCTTTAGCGTCTTCGATCTGCGTGGCCAGAGCCTCCACACAAGTTCTGCTGGGTCTCGGCCTGGTCCTGATGCAATACGTGGGTCGAGCCACCATCTGATCCAGGCCCTGAGCTGTCGTGCAATATTGCTCATCCCCAATCTCCACGCAATACTCGCAATGCCTATGGGTCGGAAGCCTCCTGAGCCATCATGTTTGGGAATCAGCGCAACTCGAACTTGTGCCCATACCGCTGGTACGTTGGCTCCTCCCAATATCTGGTTCCAGATCCTCGCGAGGAGGGCGTACCACTGTGTTGGTAGTCGCGCCAGATGCCTGGGCAACCAGCCGTCAGCACCACCAGCTTTCGCTGCAAGTTGCCTGGCCCCCTTTCGGAGTGATTCACCTGTCGGGTCGACGTAGAGCTGCGTCGGCAATCCCTGAGCTGAATTAGCCCCAAACAACAGGTGAATGAACTCGTCGGCCGACTCTGGGGACGCCGGTGGGGCGCGCCAGATTCCCTCCCAGACCGCTCGTTCATGCTCAACTCGTTGTTGTGGATGGAGTGGTCCTCGTACTTCCTGTACTGGAACGTCAGGTCGCTGTCGCTTGAGCCATGCTAAGGTCTTGCTGTCGTTGGTGGTCATGTCCTCGTTCCAGCTGCTGAGCCTGGCCAGCTTGTCATTCACCTCTCTGTTGTGGATGATATCCTCGAGGATGCTCTTGCCGTAGTCGGTGTGGAGGTCAACTTCGCCGAGCTCTGAGTACCTCTTGGCCAGCAGCCCCTGCCGCCGTCGAAGCGTGCGCTCAGCCTCAGGGTCGCCAGGCCTGAGGGTGGCCTGTCGGACGACCCTGTGCAACTTATACAGCTGGGCCAGGGTGCTGGTCTCGTCGTTGACCTGCTTGGTGGAGGAGCCGTGGACGTGAACCACCTTGGCCGAGGCTGACCTGGGTCGGCCCTTGGCCAGCTCGTGCGTGAGCAGGCTCTCGGTGTGGTCGGGGAGGAGCTGCCACATGGTGTTGGCATCCTGGCGCGACTCGGCCCTGTCGAACGCGTGCTCGAACTGGCCGTAGATCTCCTCCCACGTCTCCTCCTAGATGTCCTCGTCGCCGACGAGCGGCGCCCTGCTCTTGTAGGTGTACTGCTCCTCCTGGGAGTAGCAGGCGATGTCGTAGTATACCGGCTCGTGGTCTGCGACTCCTTCCGCTTGCCCTCGATGTGTGACCGTGAGGTCGCGATGAAAGAGTGCATAGTCGAGGTGTCGGCCTCTGTCGTGAGCGGCTTTCTCGATCTCTGCAAGCGTCTCGGGAAGGTGGAGACGGAAATTGAGGAGGACATCAGCGACGCAGTCCTCCGTGGGAACCATGTTCCAGTCCCCGATGCAGCACGGGCGTCGCCGCAGGACAGCGGCATGCTGAATAATATGCTGCATCACGGGCGTGGTCCCAGCCATGGGGGAGTAGCCGTGCAGGTTGGCATGGATGATGGGCTCTGCTCGTGGAAGGTGCAGTGCGGCCACGACCATCCTGTCGTTGCCAGCGGACTCTGGGACTTCCAGCTGCACCAATGGCTGCTTGGAAAAGATGATGGGGTCAATGAGGAACCTGCTGTCATTGAGGCCTGGTGAGCCTGCCGCTGTGTACTTGTAGCCGCGTCGCCGTGCATACTTGATCATGGCAGGCAGACTGGCTGGTGAAAGTCGAGCCTCTTGGATGCAGAGGATGTCGACGTCATAAATCTTCGCGAGGGCGAATACCTTCACTGCCTTGACGGAGAGACCCTGTACGTTGAGGGTAGCAAGTCGGAGCAGCGAGTGCTCCGCAGTAAACTCAGTGGGTGCAACTTGATCGCCAGTGCTGATCAGCTGCTTGGTGAAAGCTTGGGTTGAAACAGTGATTTGTCTGCGTAACTCTGCGCTAAAAGTTGATGGCAGCCGTGTCTGTGCAGTCGGCGCCTCAGTCACATGTATGTTGCTGGTGGGGGGCCCTAAAAACGGCTCCTCGCGGTCGCCGTCGTGGGCACCCTTCTTGTGCCTGATCCCGCTGAGGTGGCTGCTGCCGATGAAGGTGGCGTGGAAGCCGTCGCCCTCGCCGTGGGCGTACTCGCTGCGACCTTGGCCTTCTCGAGGTAGCCGAGGGCCTCTCGCAGAGCCTTGGTGTGGGCAGCCATCCTGAACTTGTCGATGAGGCGACGTCGAAGCTTGCTGGTGGCCTCGGTGAACGCCCACGGGCACGTGCCAGAGAAATTGCCCCTGGGCTTTCATCTCCAGCATGCCGCACTTCATGCAAACAACTCGTGATTTGCCTTTGTGGTATCCAAATGGCCAACGAAACCTGTGCCAGTCATGGCCCCCACCTCCGTGTACAAAGCCAGCGCGTTTCTCCAGGGCAGCCTCTCGGCCAGCCCGACGAGCCTAGTTACAAAAATCGAGGTAGTCCTGGATCTCCTGCTTGTGGTCTGGGTCGTCCGTCTCGCTGCGGGCCTTCTCGGCACTCCTGATGGTGTACTCCAGTCTGCCCGCAGCCTTGGCGATGGCCTGGCAGACCTCCAGCGAGTTGACCGCGCCCGCCTGGCGC